CACCTCAATGATCACCCAAGAATGGATGGCAGGCAAACATCGGACCATTCTGAAGTGGCCGAGTGCTGATTTCAGTCTGATTGAACATCTGTGGAAAGAGTTGAAATGGGCAGATGGCAATAAACACCCGTGAAACCTGAGAGGAATGGAGCGATTTGCTCAAGGAGAGTGGGCCAAACTTCCTGTTGAGAAGTGCAGAAATCTGATTCAGAGCTACAGAAAGGGCTCAATAGCAGTTATTGCTTCCAAAGGGTGTGCTACAAAATATTAAGTTAAAGGTCCCAATATTTGTGTCGTCCAATATGGGGTGGCATGGTGGTGTAGTGGTTAGCACTGCTGCCTCACAGCAAGAGGGTGGTGGGCTTGGTCCTGGGTCCTTTCTATGTGGAGTAGTGGGTTTCCGCTGGGGGCACTGGTTTCCTCCCACAGTCCAAAAGTATGTAGGGCAGGTTGACTGAGTTGTGCATGTGTGTGTGTGCCCTGTGGGCTGTTGGCAACTGCCCTGGGTTGGTTCCTGCCTGTGCCCCTTGTTCCTGGGATAGGCTCCAGTCCCCCCCCCCCCCCCAGTTGGGATTAAGCTGTTATGATGATGGATTGATGGATGGAAAATCCAATATGACTCTGTTCAATCAAATGTGAAATGACTAATGGATCTAATGGAGGAGGGCTGTTCTGCAGGATAAATTTATAGAAGTCGCAGATAACCTTAGAAGCAGAGCATCCATGGTGGTGTTCTCTGGAATACTTCCCGTGCCACGTGCAAGCCAGGCTAAGTTAGCTGAGATGAGGAAATTAAAAGGGTGGTGTAGGAAAGAGGGGTTTAGGTTTATGGGGCACTGGAGGACCTTCTGGAACAGGTGGGACCTGTTCAAGCCGGACGGGTTGTATCTGAACCAGAGGGGAACCAGTGTATTGGGGAGGCGTATGTGTAGAGTAGTTGAAGAATGTTTAAACTAGGGACTGGGGGGCAGGGAGGTTAGTTATGAATATAGGTGGGGGAAGACGGAAAGCCCAAATTAATATTAAAAGTGGGCACTGTGAAAGGTCTACCCTTTGTGGTCTGTACTTAAACGCTAGGAGTATTAGAAACAAAATTCATGATTTGAGGCCTTAATTTCATCAGACTCATGACATTATAGGAATAACAGAAATATGGATGAGTGCCAATGATGGAGAAGAATATAATATGGATTAAACGTTGTTCCATAGAGACCGGATAGGCAAGAAGGAAGGTGGTACTGCAGTGTACATAAAAGAAAACTTGCAAGCAGGGGAGCTCACTGATAAAAATAAAAGTGCAGAAGCTGTATGGGTAAAACTAGATGCTAAAAACTCAAATGGCCTAATTGTCAGTGTTTGTTAATGTAGCTGCAGAGGAAAGCAGAATGTTATATGATGATATCAGGATTATGAGTAATAAAAATGATATGGTGGTTATGGATGATTTTAATTTACCTGGGATACAGTGGGACAGGCTTACTTTAATAGAATGAGACTGAAACTAGAAACTGTAAATTGGATGGAGTAAAACAGCAAAACTGTTGGAGAGGCATGGGAATTTTTTTAAAGCACACTGTTGCAAGTGCAAGAGGACTTCATACCTGTTTCCAGCAAAACTAAATCTAGGAAACTGCAGCCAAGAAGGTTTACTACGGAAATTGAGAATAAAGTCAGGAGGAAAAGGGCTCTGTTCCACAAATGGCATCAGCAGTGAAATTTGAATTTCTGTTTGCCTCAGCCATAGTTCTGTCAAGCAAATGCCTTGGGTTTCTACCTAAAAAAAAATATAACAAACTTGTTAGTAATTGCAAATCACAACATGTCCTGCCTAAACAAACAATTAGTTTTGCCGACAATAATACACGGTAGCAAACACTTTGCTCGAACAGGAGCACAGATTCTAGTGCTTGTGTTGAGGTCTCCCAGGCTGATGGAGTGAGATCTGGGGAACTTAGTGCTGCTGTACATTCAGCTTTAAGCCATGTGACCGCATCATTGGACTTTAATGTACTGGAAGAGTCAAGGGTTTTGTACTTTGGGTCTTGCAGAGTTACCATAGTCATGACACTCAAAGAATCCAGATTACACACACACTGACTTTGATCAAGTGTCCAATCAGTTGTGTTGCTGGTAGGTCTTAGTTGGTCTTTGTTGACTTGTTTAATGCTTTCTCTGCAGCTGAACATGGCAGGCAACTGGAACAAATTGGGTAAGATTTATGAAGAGAAACATGTTCTGAACTGTTGAGTTTCTAATTTGCTATAGTGTCATTATACTTTGGGGGAAATGACAGAGCTCTACAATACCACTTGCACTAATTATCTGTTATTTTATTATACCTGTTATAATTACACAGGACAACAAAAAAACATTTTTTGAAATCATCAGAGACCAAAATACATTTTTCCAAATCACTTTTTCACGCTGATTTCATATCTGTTTTCTGTCACGTCAACTTTTTGATTTATGAGTAATGCTAGTTAATACCGTAATTGCAAGTATTGTGTACTAAAACAAAAGCATCACTGTAGTATAGGGTAAAATATCTTTAGAGCAAAATCAAATAAACAGACAGTGGGCATAAAGAAATTGAAAAGTGTTTGTTAACCACCATTGTTTCTTCAAATACGCTTTGAGTTTGATTGTCTTGTGTTCACCATGTTTAGTTTGTTGCGATAGAGCATCCAGCAGTAGTCGGCCATCATGCTTTCACTGTAACCAGCTGCACCTTCTCCGTACTCCTCATCACCTTCTACAGAATCAAGACCATCATGTGGCGGTACAGGAACAGGCAATGAATTGTCATGAGGAACAGGCCTGATTTCAGAATCTAGGCTGTGATATACAATTTTGTGCTTAGTTTTAGCTGAGAATCCAATTATATTCGTGCGGCAAAAGTAGCAGCCGTTGAGATGGTCTCGCGGTTCCCTCCACACCATCGGAGTAATAATATGGCATTGCTGCCTTTCTCCGATTTAGCCAGTCTCGCAGACCATTTGAACAACTGGTACAGTACAGATGACATGTGGAGTCCAAGATTTATCTTGGTCTCCAGGTAGACAGCCAAAGTATAATTTGTATATCTTCTTAAGATCTGCAGTGATTGGGCGACGTTGTGCTTTCATTGTGAATGAACCATGCACATAACAGAAACTGTCTGGATGATTAATACAATTTCTAGGCATGATAACAACTGAAAGCCAACACAGTTGATGCTGCCTGTCACCTCCTCCTTCGATTTCCAGGTCGATGACCCAGAATTCAAACTCGAGAGTTAGATTCAGTATTTCTTTCGCAACAATTCGAGAAAATAAAAAAATTGTCGAGGAGCTTACGTCAACAAAACGAAACCTGAGGCACAACTACCTATGTTTCCCGCCAAACTAAGTTGTACACAAGACATGGGCATGCGCACTAGGTCAAATTAATCATACTCAAATCACAACTAGACAAGTATCAATAAAACAAAAATCAATATCTAGTCACCTAGAGAATGGTGATGCTGTCTATAAGATAAAAAACACAGGCAACTCTTGTGATACACTTAGGCAGACTGCATGTACATAATATCATACTACATATAGCTTCATCACAAAAACTTGACGTGCTAGAGAAAAACTATACACAGATTTGAAATAAGCATGAAAAATACTACAAACCCCACATAAAATTACCTCTGATGAAAAAGACCTGTTAACCTATGTTATTTGCTACTTTGTTAGATTTATTTTGTTATTTTGTTTTTGCACTATTACTACTTCGTTCTTTTTAAGCTCTTTACTGTCTCATCTTTATTCTTCTTGTTGCATTGCGCATGTTTATGACAAAAGAATTTATCTCGGGATAAATAAAGTTCTTCTTATCTTATCTTATCTTATTTCACAAAAACCTAAAGGGTATAATACCCACGATGTGTGATCACTCCCGGGGAATGTGACTGAACTCTGAGACTGCCTGTCTGATTGCATGCAATCATTTTGTTACAATATATGTCCATGCAATAACGCGGTGTGGCTATGATAATACTGATAATGATACTGTAGAGCAATCGCAAAATCACATTCATACGGTCTAAATAACCACAAAAAGAACATTGCAAACACCATAACTACAGAGCTGCGGTTCTAGAAGAGACCCCTTTGATGCACTGGCATCCCGTCCAGGGTGTCCCCAGCCTTGCGTCCTGTGATGGACTGGCATCCCGTCCAGGGTGTCCCCAGCCTTGCGTCCTGTGATGGACTGGCATCCCGTCCAGGGTGTCCCCAGCCTTGTGCCCTAAGCTTCCTGGAAAAGTTCCCTGCCACCCTGCGTTGGATAACCAGTTGGAAGATGCTACAAATTTCTCAAAGACCTTACACACTTACACACAGCCACACTCAGTCATAACAGACAAATGTGGTGCTGTTTAGTTGTTTATCATTTTTGTATCTGGGAGTGAGTACCCTCTAAAAACAAATTTCAGGGAATCTTTACGATCTTTTACTAATTTACGATCTTACAAAACCTCATTGTTGAGCAGTGAGTCAAACTTTATCAAATAAAAACCACTGTATAATATGTGGTATGTGCGCGTATCACCTTAAGCTTATAAAGTTGATGTAATAATATTAGCACATTAACTACTAACTGCATGGCTTTACAAAGTTGCGTCCTTGGGGGACTGCTCTTGCGCCACAAACTCCAGCGACCGCCAGGGGCCGCTGTATGGACCCCGGCGGAGTGCTGACGGAGGCGGGCTTGGAATAAAACATAACCCACATGCAGAAAGTGCAGTCTGCACCTGGGGTCCATATGGAGAATCCGAGGTGCGGGGATCCAGTTTATCACTACGGGCGACTGATTTCATGGCTCTGTATGGCTGAGCTGTAGGTCGGTGAGTATCCGGAGCGCATTTCAAACGCTGCATTTCGCACTCCGCTTTTTCTTTGCCCGGTGAAAGACAAGTGTCCCATTTAAGGGCGGTGACATTTGCCCGTGTCTTTCTTGGACTTGACGACTGACTCTGTTTTTGATTTAATCTGGAGTTTGTAGCTCATGGTCATGCAGCGTTATTCTGAGGTCTAATGACATTGCATTAAATCAGTGTATTGACTAGCCTGCATTACTCGGAAACGGGAAATTGGCGTTTTGCACTTCAGTTTACGGATAGTAGAGCTTATTATCCTCCGTTTGCAGCGCTTAGGGATCCTAATGCGGATTAAGGCATTCGGCGTGAATCCGGAATATAACTGTGGATGTTGTTGAAAACTTTAGGTACTAAACTTTATGGACGTCAGGGATATGGACGCATCTGTAAAACCACCGACAGGGTAAGCATATGCTTTGTTTCAAGGTTTTTTTCCCCACTTTTTTTTTGCCGGTTTTTGTTTTAAAATAGTGATTTATTTTTAAGAGTGTGATCAGTAAATATCACCTGTTGCACAAACAATCATGTAACGTGGGACGGGATTTTGGGCTGTGTTTTTGCCCCGTAAGAAAGCATATTATTACATTATTACGGTGCAGGGAAAAGACGCACACATGCCACCCAGGGCTGCCAAAGCATGATGTCCGGGACCATCTGCTGCTTCAGCTGTTAACCTTTAAAACGAGCAGTTAAAGGGGCAGTTTAGTCAACTTTACCAAAGACCAGTCAGTGTCCTGCCCTTAAAAACTTCATCGTGATAAAAATGTAACTTTGATACGCTCACATGAGTCTGCAGGATCAGTCAATTCCATACAAGTCCTTACTTTATGTAGCTTAGCTCTCAGATTCACGTGTACAGTATTGTGCCCTATGAATTCCCTTTTTATGAAGTTCAGATCTGTTTAATGTGCTGTTTAACTGACTAACCTGAACTATACGGTAAATAGAAAATAAACCCTTGTAGTGTAGATCATTTTGCTCGACTTATAACTTGATGTGCCAGCGTTTTGTGTCGTACTGTATATGAACGCATATAGAGGATAAAAAATGGTATTTTGGGTTGTTTTTTTTATCACTTTCCTGTGTGTAAAACATACTGAGCAGTAATTCTCAGCACATGTTTGTCCCGCACTGCCGGATGCCGGATCTCACTCCTGCCTGCAGTGTCTTTGCGATCGAAAATTTTGCGATAAAATTCCCCCTAAAGACGGCGAATCCCCCGTTTTCAGTGTGAAAGCCGTGATTTTCTGATCAGCTGTAGTGTAAGTGCGGTTTTCTTGGAATGACTGGCCTTTATGTAAATACACTGCAATGACAGGGCAGGTATACACGGCGGTCGGAGCAGTTATTTTAAGGCGTCCAGTTGCTGGACATTCATGGAGCTGCTTGCTTGTGATATTTAGAGTAACATTTGTTACTCCAATCAGCAGGTAATTCCTAGCCAGGAATTATTATTCACAAGAAACTGATTCCAAATGTTTACGCTGTTTATTTGTTAATAGTGTATATATACTTACTGTAAGTGTTACTTAATAGTTTGATTGAAACGTAACCCTGTTTCCGGAGAATGGCAGTGGTCAATTGCAGAAATTAATGACACCGAGTGTCTCTTTTAAGCGTTTAAATCAGCGCATAAGACCTTCTTAATGAGAATGTCATTCTTTTTTTTAAAGTTTCCCATGGAGAATTAACTGAGCACTGCGTGGAAATTTCCTTAGCTTGCTGTCAGCCTTGGGAATAGTCCTGGGCACCATCCCCTTTGCATTTCTTGCCACTTGCTACCTTCTGAGGCGGCAACGCATGTGATCCTGTGAAAATTTTGGTATGGCTATGGCGGACTTGAATTTGGGCCATCGGGAGGGGGTGGTAGCTGAATGTCCGTTAAAGCACAAAAGAGAGACCATCTGCATGTGGAATAGTACAGTTCAGCGTGAGCCATACATTAGAGAGACTCCTGAAGTTCACTTTTAAAACCAAGTCATGAAATTGTGGTGGTTTCTTTGAAGGTTAGCTTGAGCCTGTAAAGTCTCACTGGGGTATAATGAGTCCACCTCAGATGCTTCTGTTTGTAGCTGGGTTACCGGCTTTTGAAATGTGAGCCCGCAGTTCTTGGAGCAGGCTGTAAAGCTGCACGACTTCTCGGTAGAATTAAAATGCGAAAGCTGGAGGCGAGGCAGGGGCCGTTGCCGTTGGTTGCCGTTGGTGCTGATGGGCAGGCCGTCATGCCGCCGTTTGTAAGGGGTGGGGGGTGTCATCAAGCTGCTTCTATGTCTTGTTTATTCCTAGTTAGAAATTAAGAAGTTCAGCTGTTCTGTGGAGTGTGTGGAACCTTCCCAGCCCTGGTGTGTGTGTGTGTGTGTGTGTGTGTGTGTGTGTGTGTGTGTTTGTGTGTGACCAGTCCAGGTATACCTTACATTGTGGGGACAAGCTTGTTTTTCAAAAAACTGTTACTTTGACATTGTGACTGACATTTTTTGGTCCCCACAAGGGGAAATTCAATTTTTTAAGAATCTGTAGCTGCAGTCAAAAAAATAAAAATGCCAAAAGGTCTGGTTACTTATGGTTAAGATTAAGGCTGGGTAGGGGTTAAGGATGTCATTGTTGGGATTAATTTAGAAATGAATAGGCGGTCCCCACAAAGATATGAGTATAGGTGTGTGTGTGTCTGTCTGTCTTTTTTACATATATGGCTTGGGGGGTTGTGTCCCCCCCAGTGATAAGGCTCCCTGTTTGGCTTCAGCAGTGGGTAGCTAGGCTGCTCTCCCTGTGGGTTTGCCGACTGAAACGCTCAGATGAGGTGCTGATTGCTTTAATTGTTTCCGATGAAAAGCCCCGAAACGCCCCACACTAACTCCCATCAGGAAGAGAATGCAGCTCCTGGCTCTGCCGTGGAGGACGGATTCGTTCGGCCTGCAGCTGATGTTTATCCAGCCATATATTTGTATATTATTGTTAAATTTCTGATTATGGGAGATTTTGACCTTATTTAGAGTCAGAAAAAGCACCAATTTGCATCCTGTACAGCCCTTACTTGTCACTAGGGCCGTATCCTCAGTGGCCTGCCAATTGTACCCTTGCTGTAAGTTAATGTACCTTTTAAGGTACAGCAATGGGCTCTGAGGAACTTGTTTGTACCATTGAGGGACATGTTGTTTGTACCTTGGGGGACAATACTCTACCAGGGCTGAACCCTGAATCCCTATTTTCTGACTGGAGTGACTGTATTCTTCAGCCTTTCTCCTGCGAGTTCAGGGTTTCTCGCCGCCGTGCCATGAGTCCGCGCGGGACGCCCCTCCCAGAGCCACCCCCACCCCGTTACTTTATCCTGCTTTCCTGTGCTGCTCCCCCAGCTTGTTATTTAAAGGCTCTGCCTGGTCTGTGCTCATGGTAGCGGGGGGGGGGGGGGGGTGTTGTTGTGTCCGTGTTGGTACCTCAGTTGGACTGGACCCACTTGGCTTACAGTAACTTGCGTGCGCCGTCTGAAATGTCAGACGTCCCGCTGGACGCTCACACATTCCTCCGCTATCCCAGCGCCGTCTGCTCGCGGGTAGCACTCTGGCCTCACACATCTCGCGCTGCCCCAAGCCACTGTGTGTGCACTTCGCCTATTCCCTCATCATTCTCGATGGTCTCCGCTGCATTTTCCGCTTTCCTTCCGCCACCCAAAAAAGTGTAATTAGGTGGACGGCATCTCTAAATTCCCCTGTGTGTCTGTGCGTGTTTGTTCCCTGCAATGGACCGTACTACATTGGCTTCAGGCTTGTCGCAACCCTGCACATGAGAAGTGCCATGTAGACAGAGTGTATGTATGTAGATTTATGTATTTACATTTATTTAGTAGAGCCTTCTGTCCAAAGCAACATACGGTACATTTTTGACTGTCCCTAGACCAGTCAGGGTTAAGGCTCCAATGGTAAAATTACTCTGGCAACTCTGGGATTTGAACCAACGACCTTTTGATCACAGGCATAGCCACACACCACTGCATTTGTCAGTAGGTGGAGCAAAGTGTGCGACTAGAATTAGAGTAGACACAAGCCATACAAACGGAACTGTCTGACCAAGCTTAAAATAACCATTTCATATCTGAAACACTATCTTACCCTTCCTGTGTGTAATCTCACTCTTGCAAGTCGTTATTGTGCAGTTTTTTTATTTTGCAAACACTCTCCAGAGATTGTTCAGGAAAATCCTGAAATTCTCGTTTTGATGTATTCGATGACTTTCTGTTTAAAGTAGTACACAGTCATATTTCCCCAGTATCACAAATTAAAATTCTCAGTGTTATTGAAAAATATTAATTACACGTTAATATTAATTTGATACGGTAATGATGAGCTAGAGTTCGAAGTTGTTTATATGTAGAAGCCGGACATGCATTTATTTATTGCCGGATTCAATTTGTTTGGTTCTGGAGAAATCGAGTGGTGTAGAGTATTCGAGTGATGTGAGAATGTAATCTTAGTAATAAGTTATGCTGATTAGGAAGTTTGTCAGATTTCTGGCTGGCTGTCGATGGAGTGATGTCTGTTTGCTGTAATGATGGGGCGTTTAGCTAAAATGCACAATATTTTAGGAACAGATTTGGGGAAAAAATCGAAAAATTTGGCCGTTCAGGGATAGACCTACTGATTACCTCTATATAATGTACATGGGGGGAAAAAACAAAAACACTCAAATCATGTGTAATTTCGTGGCTGACTTTCTGTTATTCCTAAATGCTTCCACTTGTTATTATTACAGAGGTATTATTACTGTACAGCAGGGAAGAAATTTCATGAGCTGAATTAACGCAAAGCTGGCATCCTGTGACAGTACAGTGTTTGAATTCACTGAGCTCTTCAGAACAATCCATTCTTTCACTAACGTTTGTAAACCTGACTGCATGGCTGGGTGCTTGACTTCATACACCTGTGCCAATGAGTTTGAATAAAACACCTGAATTAAGTGATTGTGAGGTGTGTCCCAATAATTTTGTCCATATAGTGTATATGACGTATTTAGGAGAAAAAAACTAATCCTGTGTAATTTTATTACTGCAAAGTGAGAGTGATCTCAGATTGTTTGATGGCATTAAGGTCTAAACAGGCCTGGTTTTCGATGACCTCTTGTCAGGTGTTGAGTGCTATTTGCTTCACTTCGGGTTAAAAGCACATTAAGTGGCAAAACTGATAGTGTCCCCTTAGTATTTAATAACACAATACACAGCCGATCCTGTGTCAGTCACATAACCTTGGAATGAAGCTAATGCTAAGTAGAGACGCAATATCGGATTGGTATCGGTGCCGATCCATACCTATTAGATGGATCGGTTATCGGCCAAATGTGACCGATCCACGCCCGATACTTACTTATTTATTTTCTTTTTAAATCGATTTGTACTATAAATCGCACAGCTCTTTC